AAAAAAAAAAAGCTTGGGAGAAAGGGATCAGTATATTCTGTTCACAATACCAATCAGCAACTGTTAAAAACCCTGACAACACCAGATGTAGACTCTAGAATGAAAGGCATTTGATCTGGTACATGAGAAACAGCAGTCAACAGCAGGCCTGGGCACTTCCATGTGTCCTGAGACATCTGGGAGGATCTCAGGAGACTTTTGTTTTGTTTTAGTTTTTTTTTTATTATTATTAAATCATAGCTGTGTATATTAATGCAGTCATGGGGTATAGTGTGCTGGTTTTATATACAATTTGAAATATTTTCATCAAATTGGTTAACATAGCCTTCATGGCATTTTCTTAGTTATTGTGTACATTTAGAAAGATTCACATGTACCCTTGCAAGATGAACCATAGTTGTGGTCACACGAATCACCCTCCGTCCAGCTCCATCCATGTAAACATGAAGGAGATAAAGTCTCCATCTTTCTTTAAGGCTGCATAATACTTCATGGTGTACATATACCACAATTTATTGATCCCTTCGTGGGTCTATGGGCACTTGAGTTTCTTCCATGATTTAGCAATTATAATTTGGGCTGCAATAAACATGCTGGTACAAATATATTTGGTATACTGTGATTTTTGGTCTTCTGGATATATGCCTAGTAGAGGAATTGTAGGATCAAATGGTAGGTCTATTTTTATTTCTCTAAGTGTTCTCCAAACATCTTTCCAAAAGGAATGTACTAGTTTGCATTCCCACCAGCAGTGTAGAAGTGTTCCCTTTTCTCCATATCCACACCTGCATCTCTGGTTTTCAGATTTTGTGATGTGAGCTAATCTTACTGGGGTTAGATGATATCTCAAAGTAGTTTTGATTTGCATTTCTCTGATGATTAAGGATGGTGAGCATTTTTTCATATGTCTGTAAGCCATGCACCTATCTTCTTTAGAGAAGTTTCTCTTCAAGTCCTTTGCCCACCATGAGAGGGGATCACTTGTTCTTTTCTTGTTAATACGTTTGAGTCCTCTGTGGATTCTGGTTATTAAACCTTTGTCAGACATAACCAGCAAATATCTTCTCCCATTACAAGGGCTGTCTACTTGCTTTACTTACTGTGCTTTTGACTGTGCAGAAGCTTTTTAATTTGATGAGGTCTCAGTAGTGTATTTTTGACGTTGTTTGATTGCCCAGGGGGAGTCCTTTTCATAAAATTTTGGCCAGGCCAAGGCCAATTTCTTCAAGTGTTTTCCCTACACTTTTCTTCCAGTCTTTTTATAGTTTCCTGTCTTACGTTTCAATCTTTAATCCAGTGAGAGTCAATGTTAGGTAGTGGTGAAAGGTGTGGATCCAATTTCAGTCTTGTGCAGGTCGCCAGCCAGTTCACCCAGCACCATTTGTGAAATAGGGAATCTTTTCCCCACTCATTGTTTTTAATTGGCTTGTCAAAGATCAGATAACAGTAAGTAGCTGGGTTCATGTCTTGTTTCTCCATTCTGTTCTATACATCTACCTCTCTGTTTTTGTGTGCCATGCTGCTTTGATCAGTATCAATTTATAATACAGTCTAAGGTTTGGTAATATGAATTTTCCTGCTTTGTTTTTATTCCTGAGTAATGTCTTGGCTATTCAAGTTTTTTTCTGATTCCATATAAAATGAAGTGTTATTTTTTCTAGATCTTTAAAGTATGACAGTGGAGCTTTAATAGGGACTGCATTAAAATTATATATTGCTTTGGGTAGTATGGACATTTTAACAATATTGATTCTTCCCAGCCAAGAACATGGTATGTTTTTCCATTTGTTAACATAAACATTTTCAGCTATTTCTTTTCTTAGAGTTTCATAGTTCTCTTCATAGAGCTCTTTCATATCCTTCATTAGGTAAACTCCAAGTAGTTCATCTTCTTTGGTACTACTGTGAACAGAATAGTCCTTGACTGTTTTTTCAGCCTTACTATTGTTGGTATATATAAAGGCTACCCATTTATGAGTGTCGATTTTGTAACCTAAGACACTGCTGTATTCCTTGATCACTTCTAAGAGTTTAGTAGTAGAATCCCTGGTGTTTTCCAGATATACAATCATATCATCTGCAAAGAGTGAAAGTTTGATCTCTTCTGACCCTATATAGATACCTTTGATCACCTTTTCTTCCCTAATTGTGATGGCTAAAACTCCCATTACAATGTTAAAGAGCAATGGAGACAATGGGCAACCTTTCCTGGTTCATGATCTGAGTAGAAATGATTTCACTTTAACTCTATTCAATATGGTATTGGCTGTAGGTTTGCTGTAGATGGCCTCTTAGCAGTTTAAGGAATGTCCCTTGTATACCAATTTTCTTAAGTGTTCTGATCATTAAGGGATGCTGGATATTATCAAAAGCTTTTGCTGCATCAACTGAAAAAATCATATGGTCTTTGTTTTTTAATTTTTTTATGTGCTAAATTATATTTATAGATTTGCATATATTGAACCAGCCATGGGACACTGGGATAAAACCTACTTGGTCGTGGTGTATAATTTGTCTGATGTTTTGCAGGGTTCTGTTTGTTAGGATTTTGTTGAATATTTTCAGATCAATCCTCATTAGTGATATTGGTCTATAATTTTGTTTTCTTGTTGGGTCTTTTCCTAGTTTGGAGATCAAGGTGATGTTTGCTTCATGTTTGCTGTGTTGAGTAATATTCCATCTTTTTCTGTATTTTGGAAAAGGTTGAGTAATATAGGTACTAGTTCCTCTTTTAAAGGTTTAGTAGAATTCTGAGGTGAAGCCATCTCATACTGGGCTTTTCTTTCTAGGGAGATTTTGTATAGTTGATGCTTTCTCAGAACTTGATATAGGCCTGTTCAACATTTCCACTTCATTCTGGCTAAGTCTTGGGAGGTGGCATGTTTCCAAGTGTTGGTTGATTTCCTTCAGATTTTCATATTTCTGGGAATAAAGTTTCTTCTAATATTCATGAAGGATTTTTTTGGATTTTGAAGGGGTCTGTGGTTATTTCCTCTTTACCGCTTCTGACTGATGAGATTAGAGATTTTACTCCTTTTTTACTTGATTAAGTTGGCCAAAGGTTTCTCTATTTCATTGACCTTTTCAAAAACCAACTTTTTGATTTATTGATCTGTTATATAATTCTTTTGTTTCCTATTTCATTGAGTTTTGCTCTAATTTGAGTTATTTCTTTTCTTCTGCTGGATTTGGGATTGGAATGATCTTCCTTTTCCAAATGCTTCAGATGTCCCATTAAGTTGTTAACTTCTTCTCTTTCCATTCTCTTGAGGAAGGCTTGCAATGCTATAAATTTCCCTCTTAGGACTGCCTTTGTGGTATCACAGAGGTCCTGATAATTCATGTCTTCACTATCATTTTGTTCCAAAAAATTGGTAATTTCCTTCTTAATCTCATCTCTGACCCACCTATCATTCAGCATAAGGTTATTTAGCTTCCATGTTTTTGTATGAGTCTGCAGATTCCTATTGTTACTGACTTCAACTTTTATTCCATGATGGTCCAAGAAGATGCAAGGAATAATTTCTATTATTTTAAATTTGCTGAGGTTGGACTTGTGACCTAAGATGTGATCAATTTTGGAGTATGTTCCATGGGCTGATGAGAAAAATGTGTATTCAGTTTTGTTAGGATGAAATGTTCTCTAGATGTCTGTTAAATCCAAATGTTGGGTGGTTAAGTTTAAATCTAAAATTTTTTTGCTAAGCTTCTTATTGGAGGATCTATCAAACGCTGCCAAAAGGTGTTGAAATCTCCAACTATGATGGAGCTAGAAAAAATGAAGTGGCTCATGCCTGTTAGAGTGCCTCTTATAAATTGAGGTGCATTCTGCTTGGATGTATAAATACTAATAATTGGAATTTCATCATATTGAATATTACCCTTATCAAATATAAAGTGACCATCCTTATCTTTGCCTACTTTTGGGGGTTTAAAGCCTATTGTACCTGTGAATAAAATTGCAACACCTGCTTTTTTCTGCTTTCCATTTGCCTGGAATATAGATGACCATCCCTTCACCCTAAGTCTATATTTATCTTTTTTTTTTAAAGGAAGATTTATTGGACAAGTTTCACTTAGCATAATATACCTAAAAGGAAATCACAATACAATGAAATTTTTAAAACAAGGCCTCAGAATTTCATACAAACACTAAGACCAAAATCCTAAAGTATTGTTATTGTGTCTCAAAATTTTCCCCATTAACTTTATAAGAAAAAAGCTTAAACTTATGTGCCTCACAGGGTTATTAAATGAAACTAGAATTAACAAACATGCCAAAATGTTTCACTTTTAACTGTGGACATAGCTCCTATATTGAGTTTTACAAAAAAAAAAAGCATGTCTTTCAACATGCATCTGAACAGTGTTCAATGTCATGTGGTATAAGAGCAACATTCAACATAATTCAATTGCTTTCACCTAAATATGCTTATGCTTAAGTGCATCCTACAATATAACTAGAGAAAATCTGGAACTTGTTTAACCATTATAGTTTACTCAACTTTGCTGTTACATTCTAGATGAGTGTTGTGTTCAAAAACACAGAACCTTTAAGTCTTTAAAACAATCCTGATTTCCACTTATAGAGTAAGCATAAATATCAAGCTAATATTGCAAGAAACGGTTAAACTGAAATTGTGTTTTTCTTTAAAAAAAACCAAAGAGTTGACCAAGAGTCAGTGATCAGGATGAATTACATCCCCTATCCACCATTCATACTGGACATGCTAGACATCCCTCCCATTCTGTTCATGCCCATAGATGCATGGCTTCCACTACTGTCGTAGCAGTAGTTGCTCTGTTCACTGTTCCTTGGCTACTTATGCAATGTTTGATTGAAAATCACTGGAGTTTTCCTCTAAAACTTGGTCATATCCTCTCATACTGCTCTGGCCACCATAGCTGCCTCCATAACCACCATTTTGCTGCTGATTGGCTGGACCACCATAACTGGACTTGTTTGACAAGGCCATGCCTCTCATCATTTGGCTACCATAAGCACCACCACTTGCTCCTGCTGTAGAATTCAAGAAGCGTTCTACATGTCTGTGTTGCATGTTTGCTTTGTCTTTTGACATAGCTGCCATGGCATCTTCATGAGTTGCAAATTCGACATCTGCTTCACCAACTTTACTCGGTCATCAGGACCAATTTCAATGTATACTCTCACAGGATTGAGAGGTGAAAAAAAGTTATAAATGTCATTCTTAGTAGCTCTGTAAGGTAATCCATGCATGTGTACACAATGTCCTGTTGTGCTCTGGAAAGTAGGCCCACCCTCCCTGTATCTGTAATCAGACATTCCTGAAAAATAGTAATTGAGGTTTCTTCCAAATCTATCTGACCCAAATCCATAGCCATCATTATAGCCATTATCATCATCACAGCCTCCATAGCCTCCACCATAAGCACCATGCCTCATCCTCTCAAAGCTCCTCTGCCAATGCTGTTATACCCTCTGCCAGCCCTAGGTCTGTCATAGGGACCTGGCCGCTGCATGGCCATAAGGTTTTGTGGTGGATCATAGTGAGTTCTAATTTCAGCTCAACTACTCTTAAAGATTTTGATATACCTGTGCCCTATTCTTTCCTTGTGTTTCTTTAGAGCCTTTTCAGCTATTTCCTGTGAAATAAACTGCATGAAGGCCTCCCCCGTACTCCTCCCCTGGAAGTCCACCAGCAATATTATCCCATTTGGCATGATTTCCAATCCTGAGAAGAACTGAACAATTTCTTCCTTGCTACATCTAAAGGGCAGTCCTCTAAGCTGCACAAAGACATCATTGGCTATGTCAGGACTATTTGGACCGGTATGCTTCAACACCCAATCCATTTCAACATTGTTTGACTTGAATACTTCAACATATCTGTGTCCCATAATTTCTCTGTCTTTTTTCAGGGCCAATTTGACTTCATCTTCTGATTCAAGTTCAACAAAAGCCTTGCCACTCAGTCTGCCTTCTCTCGTGTAGATGAAACGAATACCTTGAGCCCCATTTTGAATTATGCAGTCAGAAAAAAAATGCTGCACTTCTTCAGCCGAGCAAGACCAGGGTAAGCCCTGGACCTTCACCACAAATCCCTCTCTGCCTTCAGTTCCCAACATCATTGTTGAAGAAGGGTGCTGGCATTGAAAAGGACTTCTACGGCATGGCTGAGAAGAAATGGCCCTATTTATCTTTTAATATAAGATGAGGTTCTTGTATGCCCATATATCTGGCCTAAGTTTTTGTATACAGTCAGCCAACCTGTGCCTCTTTACAGGACACTTTAAGCCATTCACATTAATTGAAAATTGATATGCCTGGTAAAATTTGGGGTATTGAGTTTGTCAAAGGTCCAGTGGTCATTTTTAATCCTTTTGCCCCTATGGAAGTTGGAATTTGATCAAAAGTTTCTGAGTGAGTTTACTTTTGCGGTGGAGGATTCACTGGTCATTATGAAGGATAGTTCTAAGAATATCTTGAAGAACTGGTTTAGTTATGACAAATTTCTTCAGCATGTGAATGACATTAAAGTATTTAATTTCTCCATCATAAATGAAACTCAGTTTAGCTGGATACAGGATCCTGAATTGAAAGTTGTTTCATTTTAGGAGATTAAAAGTTGATGATCAACCACCCCTTTCTAGCCTGAAACATTTCAGCAGAGAGATCTGCAGTCCTTCTAATGTTCTTCCACTTGTAGGTTATGGTTTTCTTATGTCTGGCTGCTTTTAGAATTTTTTCTTTCATAGTAACTTTAGTGAAGTTAATTATGATGTGCCTGGGGAATTTCTTATTCATGTTGAGTCGTGCTGGTATTCTGAAACTGTCTGCTATCTGAATTTCAGAATCTTTTGGCATGCCTGGAAAGTTCTCTTTCATAATTTCATGAACAAGAGGCTCTGTGTTTTGTGAAACAACTTCATTGCCTTCAGAGATTCCTATAAGGCAAATATTAGTTTTCTTTGAATTATCCCAGAGCTCTCTGAGAGAATGATCCATTTTTGCTCTCCATTTCTCTTCTTCTTTGGGTGCATTCAAAAGCTTTGTCTTCAATGTCAGAGATACTTTCTTTTGCCTGCTCCATTCTGTTACCAAGGGATTCTACTGTATTTTTCACATCTTTGAGTGCTGCAACCTCTTGCCTCAGTGTGTCAAAATCTTTGGTCATTTTATCTTTGAAATCTTTGAATTTTTGAGACATCTTTTGGGTAATTCCTTGAAATTCTAATTCCCTCCTTTCCTCCATTCTGTTGATCTTTTTTGCTATCCAGATTCCAGAATTCTGAACTCAATTTCTGACATCTCAGCCATCTGTTTATGGATGGGATTGTCAGTTGCATCTGCCATATCCTTCTTACTGGGGTTGATCTACTCTGATCATTCGTGTTACTGGAGTTTTTCCACTGATTCCCCCCCTCCCCCATGCTTAATTTATACCATTTGGCTAGATGAGCAGATAAGGAAAAGTTGGGTTGGGGGCTCCAGGAGTAGTGATTAACTAGCCTTTTGCCCAAAGGCTGGGACTGGTGTCTGTACCTTTTCCCCTAGATCTTTGCCAAGGACTCATACAGTGCTATAGCTTGAGAAACTGGGAGCCTGCTTGGTGTGCTGGGGCTAAGTGGCTCTGTCTTGTTTTCAGATGGTCTCTGTTCTACCCTAGTAAATCAGTTACTCTGGGTTTAAGTCTCAGCTATGGAGAAATACCAGCAATTAAGTCACCCTGCCCCCTACAGGCAACAATTGGGCAAGGAAAATCAAACCTTCTTACAACCCCACACCTAGGGTACCACTTTGGATAGTGCTCGGGTGATGGGCCCAGTTCAAGAGGTCCAAATCAATTGTTCCAGTCAACACTGGTCTCAGGTGGGGGAGTTCAAAAGGTCTCTGGCAACTAGATAGCAGGGGTCTGCTGGCAGCTTAGGTATAACTTACTCCAGTGCTCCATGAGGTCAGAAATACCTCCAGCAAACCCAGCAAATCAATTAGTCTGGGAAGGTTGATGCCTCCTTCCCCACCTTGCACCTCTATCACACCCAGTCACTGGTAACCCCACAGGACTGTGACCCAGTTCCCCCCAATGAGCAGATGCCCCAGGGGTTTGCACCTGCCTGAGTCAGAGGGATATCTATGTCTCCTCGGCCAAGTTGCCGCTCTCTGCCACTATCTGGCAGGGGGAGGTGAGGCCTGACAACCTCCGGTGCTTAATGGAGGCTGGGGCAGTTCACTCAGTTCCAGCTGCACCCCTGATAGATGTTGGTGGCAGAACAGCACAACTTCACAGAATTTGTTTCTGTCCTGGCTATATTCTCCTGCATATGACACACTATTTGAAGTGACAGAAATTGCGACTCAGTACCAGGCAGCTGCAAGCAGTTAGAGCTCGCACTGAGCTGTCAGTTCCAGCCTCTACCTGCCCACCTTTGTCTCAGCTATGATCCCCTGAAGGCCAGGTGCATCTTAGCCTCAGTAAAGCAGTCCTCTGGCTCATCCTCACCCTGGGAGTCTGCTGCGCTCTGGCTAGGCTGCTACTTGTTTCAGGCCTTCCCTTTATTCACGTCCCAGATCCATCCGCCAGTGGCTGCCCCCGGAGAAGGTTCCCGGCTTCCTCTTGTTGCCCAGAGAGACAGGCTGTGTCTGTCTGGAATAGCCCCAGGAGCATGAGCTTTATTGTACCAGCTGCTGCTACTGCTCTACACCTTGGGGCACTGCCACAGCTCCTGTATGGCTCTCTCTCAGCTGACTGTCCTCTCCTTACTCCTGTACCACAGAATCAGCACAGACAAGCAAGAGCCCTTCCCCTGTCCATGCCTCTTGAGAAAATGCCCAAGAATCTGGACTCCATGGGGGACAGGCTTCCAGACCTTGGAGTGAGGATGGAGAGGAGTGCTGGGAGTTCAGAATTACAGGTAGAGAATATACAGTTTTATACATTTTTATGCCTGACAGGAGAGTGCCATGGCACCCTAGTAGGGGTAGGAGGTCCAATTTTTAGAGGGTATCTCCCGTGGGATAGAATGGGAGGATGTTTGAACTGTGGTCACTTGTTTGTATGGAGTTTATTGCAAGCTCTTCTCATGGGGGAGGGGACTCCTGTCCACTTGGCAATGGATTTAGTATCTTTTGTTTGTATCCTTGGGGTTGCAGCTTACCTCAGCGGTGTTGATGTGCATCCTTCAACATTCTCTCTTGGCTCAGCTCCAAACCATAGCCTTACTTGCTAAACTTCTGTCTTTTAACTCTCTTTCTGGACAGGAGCCTCTGTGGAAAGCTGGCTGCAGTCTGCCATCTTGCCTCCACCCTCAGGATTTTTGGATAGTATTAGCAACTGGTACTCCCCCAGCCTGAGCCCTCTGGGACTTTCCTGTGTCTTCAAAATGTTCATAGAGATGCTGCTTTCTCTTCTAGCTTTTGTCTAGAGTGAGGTATTCACTAAAGCTGGCCCTGTGACCTTGTGACCACTGCATGCTGATAATTTTCCAGGTAAAGAAAAGAATTAGAGCCCCTAATACTCAGATTTGTGAACTTTGAGGAGAATAAAAAGAAACTTTCAAGAGCCAGGATAAAAGAAATGAACTGAGAATTAGGAGATGCATGTCCTTGTCCTGGCTTCATCACTTAAAGTTTGCTCTGAAATGGTGGAGAGTCCATTTCACCTGGCACTCACTGAGGGGAATGAGTTGGTTAGATCCCCTGTAAGAAAGACAAGTTAATGAAGGGACTCTCCAGAGGTATATTTGGATCTGCATCATTTCTCCCCCATTTTTCTAGATGAGTAAATTAGGAGGATTACTTAGCTCCTATAAACCCCAGTTTCCTCATCTGTGAAATGGAGATGGTTATAGTATTCACTTCAAAAAGTTGTTTCAAGGATTAGGAATTAAATAAAGCAAATAAAGTGCTTATCATTGTACCTAGCTAAGTGCTCAGAGTTCACTTTTTTTGTTGTCTTTCAAGAAAATTTATATAATTGCTTTGCTTAGTATACAAGTTAAGATTAATGAGTATTCATATGACTTTCCATGAAATAGATAACCGTATGACATTGAAAAATTCCACTTGCCATTTATTTTTATGAGTTTGTACTCTTGAGGGTGTATGTGTGTGTGTGTGTGTGTGTGTGTACAAATATATGTGTGTGTGGATGAGAACCTTTATTTATTCAATAAGTATTTACAGAGTACTTGATTTGGAAACAATACTCTGCTGGTGCTATTACCATGGAGATACAAATACAACATAACTTTCATTTCTTATAACATAATTGGGAGTGCTGAAATAAACACAACATAAGAGTTTAAAGAAATAAACAATCAAATGCCAAATCAGAGGAAAAATAGCAAGTATTGTGGGATACATACAAAAGCATATCTCACAATTAATTTTAACTGGCTTTCTTCCAAATTTTCTTCTAGAATAAATCACATTAAATTTGAACTTCGTCTAAAACGATTAACCATAGAATTACTGAAAGGGGTCTCTATTTGATATCCTGGCTCATACAATAGTCCTCTCATCTATAATTAACATATTCCTGTGTAGAAAGTGTAAACCTTTCTCCATTTAGTCAACTGTATAATGAAATGATAGACAATGAAATTTTAAAAGTTGTTATAAATTACATCACATTTCACCATTTATAAAATCTATAGTTTGAGGGGTTTTGTCAAATAGTGAAAATGCACATTTCTAATATGTATATTGGTATTTTTATGCATATAGATTTTTGCTATTATTTGAAAACATTAAAATATATGATTTCCTCCTTAATCATGGTCTTGGCTATGAAATTCAATTGGTTTTATGACCTTTTTCTAGTCCTTTTATAATTTTAATGATAAAAAGGATTCATTTCTACAGTTTAAAGACATGTATTGTGGTGATTACATTCTCTTCCTGTGTACTCAGGGATGTCAATCAATCAAGCCAATGGATACCAAGAAGTCCAGTGTTATCCTGCGCATCACCCCATTCTCCAAATCTAATGGACCTCTTAATTCTTATGTATTTTCCCATAAGCTCCCAGTGGACTTCACTGGTTCTTCATCCTTAATAAACCTAATTTTTACCATTTGGTGGCCATATTTGTTTCAGATCCTATCTTATCACAAAATTCCATCTTCCA